CCTCGCAAGCAGCAACAAACAAAGGGTGGTGGTGTCCGTGAACATGAGTCTGAGTCTGATAAGGTGCAGTTGGCTGAGGGCGGATTAGAACACGGACGTGGAAGAACCACGACGCCACCATCATCATCATCCTCCTCCGAGAGTAGTCCTCGTCGCAACAGTTTCATGCAGGACGAAGGCAGGGAATAATGTGTGTGCTTTCACGGGGAGAAAGCAGAGTTGGTTATAAGTGCCGCTTGCAAAACGTTGCTTGTCGGTTGGATCTATATCTCAGTTATTGATTCGTGTGTGGTGCTTATAGCAGTGCAGTAGAAGTCAGGGAGAAGGAAACCCATGGGCAACTATTACATCCAAACCAGTCAACAAACCCACAATGCATGCACGGGAAAACTCACCAATGTTTTCCCCATGTGTGAGTGAAATGTGCTTTGTGAAACATGATCAAAATTACATTGTAAGTATGTACATATGTACAGGGCTAACCATACACACACATTATTCAAATGATGACTCAGCAGCCTTCCCGTTGGGTTTTGAAAGTTTACCTTTCTCCACCAGCGACTTTATATTTCCATTTCAAATATGCGACACAAATTCGTTCTTATTATTCAATGCAGATTTTTAAGGAAAAACCAACAGTGTAGGTTGATTCAGCCCGAGTCAGGAATATTATTTTAAGTTAAAAAACTAGAGTGGGTCACTATACATGAATACGTCCACAGACAGACAGGGCTTGTCCACAGGAAAATTTTTCCAATTTAGCGTCACATTACTTGGTGTACAAACTCAATATTGGCCACCATGCATTCTAAACGATTTTGAAATCGGTATGGGTCACCCATCTGCATACAAATTTATCTATTTTTGCCTGGTAAATATGTATGCCATGACTAACATCTAACTAAATATCAGACTAACGATAAGTCTCAGCCTGCTATGATACTTGCCAATATGGATCAATCCCTATGAAGGATTTCTTTAATCGGGGTTAAGATTGTTATAACTTGGCTTCATATTTATTATAAAATCCCAATAGAAACCTCCATCCTGTTTTTTATAACAAATAGATGAGAATACCCTGCAGACTGTCATCATCCCCATTGGTCGACCACCTTTTCCCAAAGAAATTGTCTACATAAGCATGTGGCAAAAATTGCAAGCCGACCGTGCACTGATGAGACCGCAAGCATATCTCGGACAGACGGGCATGGTTTCATACTGACTCATTGTTTCTGCTTCATTGCTGTCTATAAATATTTTATCCGCAGCTATTGCGCTGTTACACATCTTGCTTTAAAAACAATGTGTATGGGGCTGGAACATGGAATTATTATGTAATTTTGAGATTGCACTTGTTCCTGTTTATGCAATAATGCTTTCCCCTCCACAGGTTTCCTTATTACCATTCCCACTACGAATGTTGATGAGAATTCTTGGGATACTTGGAGCGGATAATAATACTTAATAACCGGGGAAATGAAAGTGAAATGCAGCAACTAGATACGTACGTACGTATAACTGCGACTGTTTCCTACGTATGTAATGCTGTTTAATGGTATGCAAATGTGGTGTGGTAATTTCATACAAATTGGCTCTTTGTATGATAAAACTTTTTATTCCCACCCATCCTGCTTTTCACAAGCACAGGATGGGAATAAGAGCTCGATGTTCTTGTGGTCGTTCGGGAACTAAATACAAAAGAAAAGACAATGCGTTCTGTGTTCTGTAGGTAAAGGCGGCGTATTTACAGTAAAATAAGGCATAATAAATAATGAATTCCCAAGCTGTACGAAATTACTATTTTCGTTTGTATCATTGTATTTTCATACGAGGCACGACTTGTCAATCCTGCACTGGATAATGCCATTATTGTCACGATATGCCCACAAGTACCAGTCTGCTACAGCTACATATACGTATATCGATTATTTGCAAGACCTTCCTGTTACCCTGTCTGCTGTATAAGGACATTAAAGAGCGTAGAGTTAATATGCCTCACCTCTGTTCATCAGCTTTCTAGTCTTTCAATAATTCAGGTACTTATTATCCTACGAAACATTATATTAACTCCAGAACATAACTCCCCAATCTGCCACCTGGTCGTACGACGTCCTAAAGTCATCCTTAGGATCTCCCAATGTCCGCCGAAAAGTCGTCTTTAGGATGTTCCCAATGCTATTAAGATAGGGGAACATCCTAAAGACGACTTTTCGGCGGACATTGGGAGATCCTAAGGACGACTTTAGGACGTCGTACGACCAGGTGGCAGATTGGGTCCTTATCAACAATAGCAAGATTTCGGCCAACTTTAATTATATCGATACACACACTTTCTTTCAAGTGCGAGAACTCAAAATACTCAAAATGCAAACATAATAACAGTCCACTACTTACTATACTGTTGATTGGATCTGACAATTACGCAGACCTCATGAAAATTCAATTATTTTCCGACATAATCAAATTTCAAAAGTCGACAACGGTCACTTGACGTGGTGGTTGTGGAAATGACAGGTGGTGAAAAATTTGAGGGTTCTCTCACCCGTGTGATACCAATTCTCTCGAATGTCTTTATCTTTCCAGGACTGGATTAGCTGGATACCTAACATAGCAATTTCCTCGGAGGGATAATGTTGATGTGCTTGTTAATTTTTTGGATGGCTGACCACAGTCTATGTAGAAGCACATTATTCATACTATTGCCAAAATCAGAGTTCCCACCGTGCAAAGCAATAATCAATTTACTTGTATTATGCTTGTCACATCCATTTTCAACTTATTTTGGGGACGAGGGTGAAGTGAAAACTGGGAAATAGAAAGAGTCGAGATTACGGGGAACAGTATGGATTGGAAATTCAATTTATCTGTCTGTGCCTGCTGTGCTTCGTCGTTCCCTTCTGGTCGTGGTGGATGGTAGAAAACGCGATAATTCACACACAATTAAGATAGTTTGGCCTTCGTTATTTAATGCGGTTCCATCCGGAACTTTTATCTGTTATTGAATTACACTCATCACCAATTCCACTCTTTGGAATAAATGACGACTCAACGACGCAGTGAAATTAGTTGCTTTATTTTACGACAGGTACGTGGGTCCACAGACAAGTAATTAACATGTAAATAAAGGAGGGCAAACATCTACATTAATCACTTCCTCTCCTCTCGCCGTCTCTCTCTCTCTCTTGATGATGAGTGAGGAGGATGAAATGGTCAACCCACTCGACGCGGCCAGACAATGCCATATCGTTCATACGGATAATGAGGAGCGGACAAATAATCCGACCGAATTATGAATGCCCCGTGCACACAAGTGAGTCGGTGAGAACTAAAAGCAATTTGTAGTGTGTGGCATTACTACTGCATACATCCATTTTCCGTGTGTACATTCATACATATGTACATGTCTGAAATCTGGGGTCACTGGAGCACAACAATCAAAAGTAAAACAAAGAAAAAGCCCATAATAAGCTGAGGAGTGCTTTTGTGACCCTGCTCTTTGTTGTTTGCTAGCTTTGCTCTCCGTCTGCGTTTGCTTTCCACGGGAAGAGAGTGGCATGGAAATGGAAGGCAAATGTACTTGTGTAACTGGCAAATCACAATAATATTATATGAACAGTGCACTATCTGCTTACTAAGCCTGCTTTATACGTCAACGTAGATTTCATGCTTGCTTAGCATTGCATTCACACATGACCAAACAAATGTCAAAATGTGCTTGCCCATCCATGCCACGCCGTAATAGTCAGTTTGTTAGTTTGCATAAGGCCAATTATTGTTTGGTACCCCCTTTAATCTTATAAGCATCATTGCCGTATCACAAAGTCTATTAGCACTATTATGCTAATTAATACAACATTTATGTAATGTGACTCGCCCATAAATTATTAAGGCATGGTTTCGTAGCAGCAAAACTGAATGGAACGATTTGATGTACTCCTGCATGGAGTTCACGCCTCGAATAATAATCCGTTTCATTAATGGGATAAGAAGGTGAGGTGTTAGCTCACAGTATCGAGCATTGCGCCAATTTGTATAGAGCTGGATAATTTTACATGTGGGATTACATAACCTTTGAGGAGTGTTTAAACTTCAACTTTTTTGTCTAATAAATAGAAAATTTTGTAGTTTGTATGCAAACTACCAATAATTTAAACTAATACTGAACTAATACTAAATTATTAGTTTAAATTATAAAGTAGAGGAAATCCATTTATTCAGTTTCCATGAAAGGAGTCGATGCACTTATCTTCTACTTGGTGTCAGTCGGAACGTCAACTGGCACAAAGTTGGAGCGCAGTGAGGAGAGCGATTTCAGTGTACATTTGTACATTTGTACAAAGTGTATTTATACATAAATATACATATGAAGATAAAGATGACTAGGAGATGTTCAACACACTGCTATGTGCATAGGATTGCTGCTTAATTCATTATGTCCGCTCACTGAGGATGAGCATATTCTCGTGCATATTAGCCATGTACATATGTAGCATTATTTGCATGGATCTTCCTGTCAGCCAAGCCTTGTTGTAACAAAGATGAGAATTTGAGAACAGCTGAATTTCAGAATTCATAATAGAATTCCAAATTTGCGTGCGCACTTATCCTGCCCATTTCCGCTGTTATTCCATTGTCATCTTGTCATACATATGTACGATTTAACCTTACAATGTTCATGTCCTCTTTCTTTTGCAAATTTGTTCCAATTTGCTTTGAATAGCGAGCTAAATTTCTGCTATTGTGCTACTGGATAATGAATGACAAGACGTTTTTTTACAAGAAGAGACAATTCATTGCAATTTTGTGCAAATGTAATTTTCCGCCCCACGAGCAAATGAATTTCCAATTATGACCATTTGCATTTCATATAACGTGGTGCATCTACATGTATGAATGTGCATCCATATGAATATGCAAAGCAAACGGAGAGTCCGCACACACGGGGTTTAAAAATAGAGCAAAAATAATCTACTATGTAAGTTTAGTGTGTGGATACTCACTCATAAATCTGCACTGAGAGACAATTCGCAGCTGAACTCATGCATAAAGGTGAAGGATATTCCTTTAGGCTGCCGGTGTGGTTGGTTGGTGTATGAAATTGATGACGACGCCGATGACGAAGGGGGAGGCTGCTCTTGGTGCTTAGACAGAACAAAATCTTCTCGCTGTATTTATGTACGTATCGCACTCACAAACTCACTACGAATCTCTGTGCGGTGCATTTTTATTATAGCAATAGCACGTTCCACACACCGATTCATTGCTGGTGGTGTATAAAATATGTCCTCGCAAAAAAATTGGCGTGGGGTTGGAATATAGTTTGTTAATGCTTTACTCCGTCTGCCCTTCCACCACAGATGGTTCGGGTTCATATACACAATTTGGCAATTATTATTAGTACGATGCGTTCAATTTATTTTGGTGTATGACGCTCTGTTCCCTATGATTTGACAGGTCAGTCTTGGTTCTGCTGAATATGTAGTCGTTCTAGGTGCTCGTACACTGTGTTCCAAGGATTATCTCAAGAGTTTCACTATAGTGGGTAGAATGTAGATGACAAATTCAAAATTAAAATGAGATTGTCAATCAATCAGCAAGCATGCATGAGTTTGGCTTGGGATATGTTGTTCGGATGCAACGAAAATTCACTAATGTTTTGTCTTGTTGGATGATTTTTTTTTGCGATTATTATTTGATGTTCAGTGAGTAGAAAAGCAATCAATGTGACAAGGGAGGAGTCGTCAGAGATGAAAACGTATGACACTTTTGCTCGCTCCTCTCCAGTTTGATGGTTCTTCTCCGTATTCTTATTTCGTCGGATGGAAGAAGACGAGTAAAAGTAGTCAATTTTCCACAGTCGTAGGTTAACTTGACTCAAGTATTTATTTTGCCCTGCTGCCCATCCATTCCGCACAAAGAAGGAGAGGAAGAAGGAGAAAGTATGGTGGATATTTAATGGAAATCGTGGGAGTTGACTTGATGCTGGTTTGGAATTTCTAAGATGAAAACAAGTTGACTTTCTCCTCTCTTTTCCGCTAATGTAGGGTTTTAGCTGTATTCTACTCTACTACAACTGTCCAAATCTCGGTCGGTTGGTCGGGTGGGTCGAAAAACATACTTTGCAAAGTTACCTCCACACTTTACTGCGATAGGAGTCGCTTTGTTTGGCTAGTCTCCTTATTCCGCCTTCTTCACTCCAATATGCTGACGGATATATGTCTAATTTTACTATGGCTGCACTGCTTTCTTTTTGACGGCGTATGATGATCTCAGCGTGGTCCGAGTTGACGGCTCCGTTATAAACTTTCTCTCTGCGGATTGTTACAGATAGGTACGCGATACGTCTGAATTCGTGGTCTGCGAGGAGAGCTGCAGAGTCTTCCTTCCAGGCCAGAATGCAAAACTGAACTGAGTTTGGTTGGGGAGAGTTGGGCATGTGTTATGCTGCCGTTTCATGTAACTGCTTTCCTTAACTTTTCGCAACTTTGCTACTCCTTCCTTCGCTCTCTCAGTTCTATATCCAACCAGCCAGCCAGCCAACGCGATGGCTAATTCCAAACTGCAGAGATTGTAAAACCAACGAGTGAGAGTTGAGACGAGCGAGGCAGACGAGTCGATAGACCTGAAATGAAAATGATCTTCAGCGAAATCTTCGTTTGTGATGCTACATTTCTTCCCCTTGAACCATGCCAGGCATCAAACTACACCTAATTTCATTAGGGATACATGCATATTGCTACTAAGTATGTATAGAACAACCAATGAGGATGGTAGTTGAAATTTATTATGACAAGTTTTTAACCGTTTCGCAGACGTTATGATGAAATTCTTGTTAAAAACTTGTTACAAACACTTCAAACCAAATCTTTCCAGTCGAAGCTGAGCATTTTCTTTGTAACTTTGTCATCTCCTTCTCCTCCAACTCCTACTCCTACATTTTACAGAAGTTGGTAATGCGTATAGCACGAGCATAAATTATATTACATGGGATATCGATACATGTTTTAATTATGTAAGCTTGCATCGAACTAACCAAGAAACCATGCTAAAAGCAATCTATTTGGTATATTTAGATTGGTTGTTCTGCCCAAGAAATTTTGCACGTCCGTTGTTTCCGAAATCAATTGGAGGGATGGGTATGGTCAAATCGACAGCATTCCTATATATCGATTCCTCATTCATCAACCAGTGATCAACCCTCTGACTTTGTCTTTCAAGTTAACACACTTGAGTACAAAAACAAAAGATCCCAACTTGCCCACCTCACCTGCATGCACGGAGATTAATTTTATAACTCAATACTTGATGCAGTATACCATTCCATTGTTAAGTCAATTATTCACCAGTACTTTTTTAATCAATTTTGAATTATAATCCGAACATTTCACTTTTTAGAATTTTCTGTGATAAATGTGCATATTTAATTTATTTACATTAACTCATTTTCTCCTTCATTCCTGTGAAGGTAATATAATTTCAAGTGCCTGCAAACATATTTGCACCATTCATTTTCTGGATGAGAAAATTACCCAACAGCACCTTCTTCATCCATATTGATATTAAGATAAATATACTCCCCAGTATTTTTGGCCCCCTGCTAAATTGCAAAAGTACATATGTAAGAAAGTACTATATTTATTTAACTTCACAAAGGCTGATTTCGTGAGGCGAATGATTTGTAGCATGCAGGCTGGGGCTGACTGACTCGAGTCTTTCATTTCCATTTAAAGATTGACGTGTTGAAAGTAGCAGTGCCATGTGAAATGTACCTGTTTTCGGAAGTTGTTTCTCACATGGTTAGTTACTCATAGGTACTCTGTTGGCCTTTCCTTACTTGTCCGTATGCCTATCGACGTGTTTGAGGAAAGCAAGAAGTTTAAAGTTAGACTATTCTTGGTTGCTTCGTCCGATCTCATGTATTAGCTGGCAAGCGGTGGTTGGGTGTAAGCATATACGTATGTGCATACATAGGTCGGTGGGTTTGACAGGGCTGATATTCCGTCCGAGTAGATCTTCTCACCCGCATTCCCAGTCCAACTGAAGAAATGGATATGCATGCTTTCTTCTCGTCTCGTTCCCTTTCCTCGCATGAAACTTTGTACGAAAAAGACTTTACTGGCCTTCAATCCACTCTTTACTTTCACCAAGTCGAAACTGAGCGGCTAAAAGTTTTTGACAACTGGTTAAGCTTTCCCTTCCAAAATGGGGAAAGCCAGCATGGGAAGCAGTGGAGACGGTTTCGATGTCGGGAAGACGAACTTCCGTCGCACTAGATACGTGACTGTGAGTGAAGTGAACAAAGAATAATGTGAATTCTATGATGTACAAAGAAGATGCCCGCACCCTCATCCACAGGAATCAACCTAAATCATTTATGCAACTACTTCGAATGAGCATGCAAAGCATTCTTTGGTGTCAACAATGTATAATTTACCTACAAATTGTCGGGTAAATTATATAATCTCACTGTTGCATATGCTAAGTTCCCTTGTTTTCATTTTCTTCAGTACGGGCTTCAACATTGGAATAATGCAATAATCAGTAATGCAGATAGTTCAGCTTATAATTTAGCAAAGGTGTCTACAAATAATACGTGTAGTACATAAGTGTAGGTACATAGTCTTAGGAGGGGAGGTTGTGTACTATCAACTCCCGGATCTCGATGCCCTTTGGATATGTTGTAGTGTCCCATGAATGTACAACAACCCTGAAGTGGTTTGATGCCATGGCCACATTTGCTCCCGCCACACCCACTCAAAGATGCCCAAAAATCGCTTTCACTCCAGCTTTCACTCATTCAAATCCTCGCCAAAAATCCAATTTTACTCCGATTTTGAAATTTCTTTCACCATTATACTCCCAGATAGTTGCTCTCTTATATCCAACATCAAGCTCAACTTTTTTGATGATTATTTCGCAGCCATAATTTGCTTTGTTGACTACCACAACAATGCTAATTCAGAATTTTTAATTTTTAAAATACTAAAAATTTCAAACAGTTGAATTTGATGTTGGATATAAGAAAGCAAGTATTTGGGAGTATAATGGTGAAAGAAATTTCAAAATCGGAGTAAAATTGGATTTTTGGCGAGGATTTGAATGAGTGAAAGCTGGAGTGAAAGCGATTTTTGGGCATCTTTGAGTGGGTGTGGCGGGAGCAAATGTGGCCATGGCATCAAACCACTTCAGGGTTGTTGTACATTCATGGGACACTACAACATATCCAAAGGGCATCGAGATCCGGGAGTTGATAGTACACAACCTCCCCTCCTTAGTACGTGCCAAATCTCTCATTATAATAGTTGAAGGAGTTTTATTTAGCACATCAAATAATTGTGTAGTGGCCACGTGTAGGCCAAAACATATACGGTAATAATCCTAAGCTAGCTCGTTTCAAAATCAAGGCAACATTACGGTATTATTAGTTATTATATTGTAATCACCCTCGATGCATGTTTTTAGGATTGGTGAAAAATGCTTTGAAAATCTGGACGCTAACCGTGAAACCACACCCACCCACATCTGCATATTTATGTTCATATTCTGATGTTTTTACTTTTATACAAGTTTAGAGTTTTTTCCCACTGCATAGTCTGAGTCACCTTCTTCATCTTGAATATATTCAACAGATCATGTTCAAAATCATTTCAGCTGTCCGACTTAATACACCATCACATATGCTTACGAACGAACATGAATATTATTTAATATGAGCTGCAGAAATCGTATTACCAACATTTTTGTAGGATGGAAATCCCTGTGGTTTTACTTTTCCCAAGAACTTTCTCTTAGCAAAATTGGATAACACAAAATCGATAATTTACTTGCCATCATTTCACAAAACCAGAAAAAGACTTGGCCACCTTTTCTAAATATGCAACCTTTTAAGCAAAGCAAGTCATTTGCTTTTCCAACTGCGGTCGATGATGGTGTGGTACATGGCAATTTTTGAGGCAGTCGAGTGTGAAAGGAGGAAAATTCGTCCAACGAGCACGACAAGACAAGGAATATGAAACTATGAAGCATTATTATTACATATTTTTCGCCAGAGAATCTTAATTTCTGGCATGACTTGACTTTTTTGTGTAAGAAGGGTGATCGCGCAAACTGTTGCGAACTCCAATAATTCTATTATGTGCATCCATCCACATCTAGAATTCTTAGCTAAACGTATACAATTCAATGGTATATCTATATTGTTTTATGTTTATACATATATTATATTTATAATAACTACAGAGCGTCGCTTCTTTATCTGATAAAGAATTTGACCTTGAATAACCCCGGAACGGTTTGTCGTAGCGGGTCAAAATTTTGAACAGAGGATCATGTTATCCTTAGGTAGTTGTGTGCAAAATTTCAACTCTCTACTTTCAAAAATGCCTCCCCCACAGCCCCCAGAACTTTAAACACTCATTTTTACTCTTTCCAAACTCCGTCTAAAAAATTCGGTCTCCGCAGAAAAATTTTTATTTTCAAGTATCCGACCCCAAATAAGTCCATTTGACTTACATCAGGGGATTATACAGGTATTTCACTATTCGAAATGATTTTTATCCCCAATCCAGCTTCAAGGTCCTTTGCATTATCTTGGGTCAACTTTGTCGTCTGGGAAGACGCTCCGTCATGATGAAAAATTACCTTAATTATTTTTTTACCGTGCAATTTAGTAAAATTTTATTCTAAAAGTGGTTTCAATACACGGTCCACATAATGCTTGGAAGATTCCTTCACTTTTTGGGGGACTTTGATAAGTGGGAGGACACCACGACCCGACATTGCACCCACGACCATAAACTTCTTACAAAAGTTCTCCTCACGGGAAAGCACCAACTTGCGTGAATTGTTTTCGGCATTTGTCGTGTCGTAAGCTCTTCGAACCCAATTAGTATTTTGTAGAGAAATTAGTGCTTCGTCAAATGTCACCAAAACCTTACTCTTATTCTTTGACAGAAAATTTGAATAATTTTTTTTTGCAAAGGCGGGCGCGATTTTTTTCTTGTTTTTCGGTCAGCTGATGCACACGAGGTTTCCGACGAAGTCGTGTTTTAAAAATCTTAATTTCTCTTTTCACTCAATGCTATGACACCCCGACCTTACGGGAAATTTCCTTTTGGGTCGGTGGATTGCCTTTTGAGGTCAATAGGTAAATTTTCCTAAGCACGGTCGGAATTAACACTTTTTTTGCCTTCTTGGAGGGGGTGGTGGTTGCCCTTAGCTCAAAATTTCTCGCTTTTCACTTATATTTTTAAATACCTTATTGATTCTAGATTTCGAAAATGTTTTTCCTTCACTTTTAAGATGTTTTGTTTTTAGGCTAGACGGGTACTTAAGTTTGCAACGAGTTTTTATGACTGGGATCACCTTCTGGGGGCTGTGGGGGAGGCATTTTTGAAAGTAGAGAGTTGAAATTTTGCACACAACTACCTGACGATAACATAATCCTCTGTTCAAAATTTTGACCCGCTACGACAAACCGTTCCGGGGTTATTCAAGGTCAAATTCTTTATCAGATAAAAAAGCGACGCTCTGTATTTGCATGCATAACCTGCGTGTGTGTGTTGTAAAATTTCACGGACTAAATGATCATAAATCGTTCATTTATTAAACCCAGCAAATAACAATACATAGTTGACACTTTGACAGTGACACAATTTTTTCTGTCACTATGATTGTATGATGATCAGTGCTCATCTGTAAAGTGAACTTACACCCACTAGATCACATTCGAAATCACGTTGGGCAATCATCACAAATATTCTAAGCTCTTTACGAAGCACAAAAATTCGAAACCTTTACCTTTCAACCTATGTACATATTTACACGCCCAAAACCTAGAAGGAATAACAGCAGAAACGTTTCCAACTGCATATCCTATTAAGGTCTTTACTCGCACAATTTCTACCCATGTCAATGAAACAACACAAGAAATCACATTGTATGAAAACTTTAAAGTTTACGTATGTGTTCAGGACTGGTTCCTAGAACGCATGAAAAATCTCTTCCAGTTTTCTTGACATGCATAATTCATCCACAAAGTTACTCGCCAAGTACCAACAACTCAAATCAAATCTCTTTTTGACCACTTTGGAAAAAATACACAATCTTTTCGTGTGGATATTCTGTAAAGTATGCGAATCTATTAATAGCAGTGCCCAATTCATTCCACATAGTTTGTGATAGTCGTTTTTGAGTAGCGGATGTTGTGGGTGTAAACGAAGACGTTCAAAGTGTTTTAGGCCCACTTTACCGACGTGATGATGTGCAAAAAGAAGTTTATTGAGTTCTTCAAACCCAGTGGAAAAAGTCTTGTGCACACATGTTCCGTGTATCAGACATAAGTTGGCATTGACATATTTTGTTTATACATACGTGTGAAACAGAAGAGCGTCTCTCGACTGCATTTTTAGGGGTGTGATTACATAATTTTATTATATGTAATCACGCTACTAAACTGTCCATCACAAAAAGCATAAAATTAACAGAATAGCCGATTCATGCTAGTCTACGGTATCAATATAATAACAAGATTTACAACATTATTTATAATTTTGAATTGTACCAACTCTTCAACTCACTTATTGCCATCGTATTGCTCCATACAAGCTGTTGCATTTTAGACTTGAGGTGAAGTGGATATGTCTTTCTGCCACCAGTATATTGAACCAATGTAATATTGAAATATCGAAGGCAGGGAAAACCTTTTATGTCACAACATATCTATCTGGAAAGCTAGACCTCTATTCTATTCACTCGCTGTACTGTGCACTAAATAAATTGCGAAGCCCAACAAACAGGAAACTTTGAGAAGACACATCGAAAGTTGGATAAATGAAGAAAAACGCGATTCTTAGACTTGCATGACGCACATTTGTGTCATTATAAGTAATTTATTAGAAATATTTCCATTCACTAGAGACCGGGTTTTTCCTATATATCTTCAATCTATCATAAATTCCAACCTGAGATTTCCTAGAATTACTGCAGCACCTTCGAAATGAAGAATGTAAGAATTTGGAAGAGATGTAGTACTTTACGAGTTACCCACTTCACAATAATGATACATATGTAATATCTACCACATTGTATAAGACTCTGTAAGAAAACCAACAGACGACATTTGCTTCAACATATAGGTCGAAGGAGTAGAGAAAGCATTTCTGGTAAAAGGCCAGGAACAAATAAAATAAGATTGGGGATTTTGAGATGTCATTCAGGCATGAAAAGGCAGAAAGTCAGAAATTCGTAGTTGTCAAAATTTAAGGCTATTATCATTTGTGTCAATGCCAACCACCAGCACCTCCATCACACCTCGAAGGAAAACTTTTCTCAAATTTGAGCTGATTTCACGTATCCATTTTTTACCCATTTTTCTCTCAACTGGAAAAGAGTCTCATCTTCCCTGTCCAGCGAAAGAAGAAGGAACAGCAGAAGAGGAACTTGGGATTAGATACTGGGGCGCACTGGAGGTCGTCGTCGTTCTTCCTTCCTGAAAAGTAATCGGAAACCGCTCGCTCTTGCAGATAAAAATGGAAAGCAAAAAAGAAAGATCCCGAAAAAGGGGAGCCAGCGTATTTCCTTTCATTTTAATTTGAAGGAATTTTGTCCTTTTTCAAATGTTGCGTCGTCCTTTAAATCCTTTCCTCTGCTGCTGCCCTGGACGAAGGAAACGCCATTCTCACATCCGACTCACTTGGGGTGTAGGAGTACACATGTAACAGTAGCAGGCTTTAAGAAATAGGTAGAAATTTGATGGGGAAGGAGGACTCACCAGACAGAAAAAACTTATTACATTCAATCCAGACCATAAACGTCTTGAAATCCCCAAAAAATCTCCTTTGCCTAAAAACCTTGGTCTATGCATACTATTAGTATTTTGTGGTCTTGGTTTGAGTCATGTTAAACTCGTATGGGTAACTCGTACGGGTTTATTAGATATTCTTTGCATATGTTCCGTCCCACAATCCAATGAGGACATGGGCAGGGAGGGGAAGAGAAAAGAGGGAGGGAGGGAGAAAGCAACGCAGTTTTACCAAAATCTTGGTGAATCATCAGAGCGGAATGACGAAGTAAAAAAAAGAGGGGAAAGACGATGATGGACCAAGTTGCACACATACAAATCTAGAGCACTTTCACTCACACTTCTTTTAACACTTTCGGCTCTTAAAGTTGCCAAAAGTAAATATTGCTAAACCTCTGAAAATAAAACCTTTCAATGTAAATACGCACGGAAAAATGAATTAACTTTTTATTGCGAAAATCGGTTTTATTGAAGAATACACATTTTGGTTTCTGTAAAGTACTGTGTGCCTATGGCATAATAAAAGTGTAGGTCATAGTATAAATAAATATTTGGTTCATGTCACTTTTTCTTGAAAATAAGCTTGTTGCTTAATATATATGTATATGCGGGTATTGCATTATTAGGTTTTTACACAAAGTACAATTTCTTGTGCATTACTGGGCAATGCTACTTACATAATTTCGTTAAGTATTTAAAATACCATTTTGATTAGGTACACTAGTGCTTCAAAAGTATTTTGCCGGCTCATCCAAACTTGTTCTTTAAACAATCACCAATTATCTATTGTACATACGTAATTATTATTGTATAGAATAAAATGACATGTTTCCGGGCTAATTACTTTAATCGCTGGCAAACAAATGTGTGCGTGTACTATGGTATATAAAATTAGTTGGAAAATTACATGCAAAAATGGAAGGTAAATACTCACAGTGGTAATGGATATTTGAACATTGGATGTTACATACGTGCGTGATACGATAAACAAATCACGGCTGTTAACATTTATAGTTGGGTTATTTTATGTGAATAAATATAAATACAGCATAAACTATGTTAAACATTTGCTAAAAATGTCCTTTTTTCGACAATACAACCAATTTTTCACAAGCAACCATAATTTTGTTAATTGACAGTCAGTACCAAAGATATAAAAGTAGAACAGAATATGTATTACAATTTACAACGCATGTAAAAGATATGTGCACTTTGGATAAAATACATACACGAGGTTTGGAAATGTATGTATGTTAAGCATAGAGCTCGTTTAGTGAAAACATGGTTTATTTAAGCCTACTCAAGCACAACTAGCTGAAAAAAATGGGGTTTTGAAGTTATTATGGCATATCTCGACATTTCATTACTGTAAAAACTTTTGTCATATCGTAAAATTAATTTTGTATTGAAAATATACTTACATATTATTCAAAGTGAATAGCTTAAGTTATAGATATTTGTAAATTATATGGTTTTATGTGTATTTTCCTACCACGAGTCAAATCGTTGTATTCATCAATGTTTGTCTTATTAAAATTCCGGATAATTAACATCAATACAATCCATACAATTAATACGGCACCAAAAAGCTAAATAATTAAAATTAGATAAGTGTGTTTACTGTAGGATGATGATAGCAATGTTATTGCCATATTTAAATTAACCATTAATTGTTGAATAACAAATAAATGACTCATGTATGTATACTGGAACCTATCAGGGTTACAAATGGGAATGAATAATTTAATTGGAATGTACTGTCTGTTACTTGTTCACGTAAATACGTCTAGTCGTTACACAAATATATACATATATATATAATCGTATAATTATATGGGAAAAAGTTACAGGAATGTTTACGATTGAAGCTTAATATTAACAGCAACTGATTTATTGCTTCAACTTTTAAGTCAAACAATGTGACCTTGGCTTAATTCTCTATCTAGAAGTAATTTCACCTGCCGTCGAACAGTTTCCAGTTCGGCTTCAAGAATGATAACTCGATCTCGTAATTTGGCGTAATCTTCATAAGACACATGGTTTTTTGAATCGCTCCCATTCATGTCATTGCTAACGTGTGAATGATTAGTGTTTGGAATAAAACCGGGGGCAGGTGGCTTCTTTCCCAACAATCTGTTGGCAACAATTGGGGCACCGGAGAGGTGTGTGGAGGGGCTCACTACCGTGGGGCTGCTCTTGTCGATCGAGTTGCTGCTGGTGACAAGAGTATTTGGCTTGGCAGGAAGTGGTGGGGCTTTTACTGCAGGAGTTGAAACAATGGTCTCTTTCTCGATACTTCCTGCATGAGCAATTGGTGGTGTCGGAGTAACATGAGGCAACGGAGTAGACGATGATGTCAAAAGTGACGGGGATCCAGCTAATGATGTTGTCGTGTTTGGAGAAGTTGTAGAATTCAAAGCTTTCTTGTCCTGTTTTTGTTTCAATTCTGCCATCCATGGAGGAACCTTCTTTGCTTTCGACGCACTCCCACCAGCAGAACCATCAAAGCTCCCATTTTCTGAAACGTTTGAATTGTCCAACATTGAATTTGATGGGGTATTACTTTGGCTGATACTGTTGTTTAAAGACAAGTTCAACGGTGTACTATGGTTGTTGGGTGTGGATTCAAACGAGTCGTGCGAGTTGTATACTCCATTTATACCATTTTCCTCCTAATTAATCGATATCAATCAAGGTGTATTAATCTTCAATGCGTAGTGGTTAAAAATATACTTACCCCTTCTTTTCCGATAATTGTGGAAGGAGGTCGTCTTCTTGGAGCTTTTGCCTGAAAATTAACAAAATAAAATAAATGAGTTTAGCAATATAATATTATTTCAGACTAGTTGGAATAAAAATTATATATGCAAGTTTTCAAATAGATTGATGTATACCCGTCCGGCAGTTAAATGGCTCAATTTATTTTCTGATCGTTCAACTGAATTAAAGTCACCAATTTCTTCATCATCTCCAAAATCTCTAGACGAGTTCATGGTCGTGGAGAGTGAAAAAGGGGACACTCCTCCACTGGAAGATACAGGGGAAGTTGGGGTTGCCGGTTTCATTCCCGGATTTAAGTTCATATGTGAAAATCGTTGCACTACAAACAAATACGTAATGAATATATAAGGTCATAGAACTACAGTAATAATTGATCTGCTCCTGTAATTTACAGAAAATAATCGTCATTATAAATACCTTTGGAGGAAACACTTTCTTGTCCCCCGTCCTCTTTTAGCTTTGGTTTGCTACTTCCTATCCCGTCAACAGCATCATTGACTCCATTCGTCTTCTTTGTCGACCCTTTATTGATATTGTCAATCCCCACGTTTTTGTCACTTCCACTGGATGGGGTCCGTTCAATACTAACTCCAGCTGTTAAAATTCACACTTGATGTAACACTTGAGTTGTAAAAATACATCTACAAAATTGTAACGAAGGACATACAATTTATTGGCTTCACACCAATTAAATTTGTCCTCTCTTGAGGTGAAATTTTTGGGCCTGGTGTAACGGTGGAATTCAAGGAGGGTTGTTTGCTCAATGTAGAACTTTCATTAGCAGAAATTATCTTGACAAAATTATCCGGAAAAAGCCCTGTTTTTCCACGTAACTCGCCTCTCCACCAACCTAAACACAAATTCAGTGAAGTTAGTTAATGGAACTAAATAGGAGGAGAGTAGATATACATCATTATGAAGGACAAAACAAATTAAATTAAAAATACCAAACCTTCGTCGTCGCAATTTTTGGAAATGATTTGGACTATATCATTAATTGCCAATGATAATTCATCATCATTTTGAGCTTCGTATGCATAAAAACATCTCCCCTGTTCCCGTACTGTAATTAAATGTATATAAATTTGCATTGTCCATATCATCACTATCTTACAATTCCAAGTACTTTTAAATACAAAGCCAAGCTCATCCGATCATGCATCCGACATTCAGTGATAATTATTTTACAACAAACTCAATAAACTCGTGCTATTATAAATATAAATTACCAGGTTTGGGAGGCAGGACTGGTGGTGGTAAATCGTCATCTTCCATGGGTGGAGGTTCTGATGTCGGAGGAGCTGGAGGGGTTACATCGGACAGTGACACTGGTGATAGGAAACGACATAAACGCGCATGCATTATAAAGTGCAACACTTGCTTGCACTAATAAAGCCATAGCTAAATTAAGGGTAAGTTTTGTATAAAATAAACTAACAAGACAATAAAACTACTAACTCATAACAAATTCTAAGAAATTGTAAACATGATTTGCAAATATGAGCACATAAAAAACTTGAAAACATACCAACTACGATGCTCTACCAACACTCAAAAACTCATGCAGGTACATGTTAACCACTAATTAGGGAGCAAGTTTTAAAACAAAACAACCAACCTCTGCTTGTCGTGACTTTGGATTGTTTGCTTTGCTCATTGTGCTTAGGATCTGTTTGTTCACTCTTTCCATTCGAATTCGCATCAGCAGGGTCCACGTCCGCTACAAAATTTGAAGGGAATATTCCAATTTTGCCACGCAGACGACCTCGAAACCAACCCTCTTCAACTTCTGCTATGTAGTCTATTACGTCCCCAACGTCCAATCTAAGTTCGTCATCTTGCTCAGGAGAGTACGAAAATAAGGCTTTTAACCGGCTGAAATACGTTAATCAGGTCTCTTAATATTTGACGACCAAGATATCCCAAACGTCTTATTGGTATATGACTTAGATTTTTTGTACCGGCTGGTTTTGTTTGAATTGCTCCGCAAGATCACATTGCTCTGAGACGAAGGTTTCTGCAGTGCAGGAAGAACAGGTTCTGGAGGTGTGACAGGATTGGCTGGCTTTTCAATTATCTTTACAAAATTGTCTGGAAACATTCCTATTTTCCCGTTGAGATGTCCTTCCCACCAGCCATCGAGCTTGGGAACGACATTTGTAATAACGTCGTTTTTCTTCAAAATAATTAATTACCAAGTTAATTAATTAGGTTAAATTAAATTAAGGTTAAATCAAGTCTTACTCTTAAGGTCAACTCGTCATCTTCTTGAGCAGTGTAGTCAAATTCCACGCGACACTCTATGAGAAATTATTTATACAAAGTTTAAATTATGTATTACTATCATTATTAACACTCGGCACAATGGAAATGTGAATGATGGTTGTTTTCCTCACCCATTGTTATGAATCCTGGTCAAAATGTAAATGGCTAGTTGACGATAATTCAATTCGTAGACAAATATTCTTGATTCACGTTTAATAGAGTATTTAATTTGGCAAGTTTACTTGTTTTATCAAGGCCTACCGAAACAACCAAATAGAAAATAGTTAACTACGACTTTTGCCTCTCCAAGTCAATGCATGATGCACAGCTAATAATAATAATGCCGAACATTGAATATATATTGTTCAATGTCCTCAATATTTTCAAGTTCAACTTGGTCAAAAGTTAAAAAATTATAGTGATATTGTATTCCTCCTGGATCCAATGTTTATTGTCATTTAAATCCCAGTCTGCAATTAACAATACAAATGTTCTAAACATTATAAATTCTAGGTACTAGAGCACCGATAAGCAAACACTAAAAATTACTTAAACAAAGAACAACACTGATCTTCACTAAATAAATACACATCAAAATGGTAAATATGCTATGACTCACCAGTGTCCTTAAAATAGTTCTTGTTCTAAAAGCTCTTTTGAAATGTGTGTCCAAAACTGTCCAAATTAACTGTGAAAAATGACAATAGTTGAAAAAAGAGCACACAAGAAAGAGGAGCAGCAGCATATAATAACAAGTGATGATGATGATGACACTTCAGGGCTGTGCAAATCTACTTGCTGGGGGAACCAGAAAACTCACACCCTTCACTCCGTATCACTCTGCCCCCGGAACATCCACACTCCTCGACCCCTCACTTATCATCATCTTTGATAAGCCATCACCCCTTCCCCACCTTCAACGATGTTCACTCAGTCACCACAACCCTTGACACGACAATATAGTAAAGTTCACACGGGAACTGAATGACCCACCACATTCATGTCTCGGTTGATTCGATATATTGTATTGTACTTTGGTGGTCGTCGTGTAGTTGTAATTTGAGTCGCAAAATTGCATGTAAAAGTTAAATGTTCGAGTAAGGTTAGCCTTTCAAAGATTAAAAGTTTATGAATAAATGAGCCGAGTTGTGGTGGATGCAGTGTGTGTGTAGTAATAATAGTGAAGTAATCAAATACCAATAATTACACACTAAGCTTTGCATTGCATAAGGTTCGGAGAGAGGTGAAACATTAGATTGGAATTTTGGTTGGGTTGGGTTTGTGAGCTTACTAATTGTTCGTGTTGCGTATTTGCAAATAAGATGGGATGAGATCATAATATAAAAGTCTCACTGCCGTATTTGTCCTCGTCCACAGCACCATACATACATACCATTATACATTTGCACAGTCAGGAATCCAGTAGTTGTAATTGAAGGATCGCTGTTGATAAGCTGTTATCGATGGGATGGGTGCTGGCCCCGAGACATACAGATGTATGTACAGTATAGGTGAACTATTTAAAATGCGTGTGAGCATAAATTCGTAGTAAACGAACATGATTAATTTCTACTAAAACTTGTGGAATTGTATGGTTTGCAATTATTATATGGTAATTGTTGAACAACGAGATGTATAGCAATATAAAGTTGTAGAACTTGAAACCGAACATAGATCTTATTGAAGCATATCTGTCATGTCATGATTTGCATAGAATGATGATGACTTACAACTTTCCCCATTATTGATATGTACCAACTTTCCCTGCTGCTATTTCATCTGTATTGTGTTAACAAAGCTTGACTATAAATTTTCGGCATCTTTGAGAAACATAATTTTTAATTTATCTATATACTGTTTGTTTAAATTGTCTCATATTTCTCTGCAGAACGGAACGGTTCAACTTGAACCATCATTCATTCAATGCCATTCATTTACGTAAGAAAAATGATGAGAGAAGAATCATTGAATTCCACAATTCGTATCATTCTTGAAATCCCATATGAATTTGCGCACAGATCTGACGCTTATAAAATGATAGCTGTGATGGCAATTTCTACATTTGATAGTATTGAAAGAGCAATTTGATAAAATGAAAGTTTTTATTTAATTTGGGGTAAAATTACAATATAAATTTCCCAGATCCGCTTCGGCATTGTCATTATCGAATACCAATATGCATATTGGATATTATATTGCATTGCGACCATATATATGGTCGCATTAATCAAAAAAATCGGTTGAGTGAATTGTGTTGCGATTGCAAAAATCAGGTTGGAGTCTGGACCGGCAGCAACGAGGTCCAGGAGTTCATTCGTCTTGGACGAAGAGGAAGAAAAAGTTGGAGAGAAAAGAAAACATTTTCTCGGCTGACCGGCCGCTTGCTTCGCTGCCAGACGAAGCCTTTTCCTGCCAGTCTCCCAGAGAACCTCGACCAGTGATGATCTGAGAATTCCTCTCCTCTCTTCCTCAACCACACCCACCCACCCACCAACAGTCACACCAGCATCATCAACCCCACCACACCCTCAACCAGCCCTACCATCTCAGCTCAGCCCGTTTGTTTTGCTTTGTCGACAAAGGTGAGCATTTCCTTTTTCTTCTCCTGGCTCCTCGACTTCTCTGTCGGCCCGAGTTCACCCTCTCATCACTCACTCGCATCAACAAAAAAGTCTGAAATTTCCTTCTTTATTTCTATCAATTTCCGAAACATCAGAAACCGTATCTTTTATCCAAATGGTTCTCCTCGCTCAAGACGCAATCTCTCAACAATCAAATACGATGAGATCTTGGACGCAAAATCCAAACTCCACGTCTGGCCAAGGTCAAAGACCTCAACAGGGTTGCTCTAAACTCTATGTTGGGAACCTAGCTTGTGACGTGGCTGTGGAAGATCTCAGCGGCTTTTTCTCCGATCATGGAATCCATGGAGGGTCAATTGTCAAAATGACTTTGAAAAGAGGATTTGCCTTTGTTGAGTTTGTCAATCAGACAGCAGCCGACATGGCGTTAGAACTTTGCAATGGGAAACCGTTGATGAACACGCTGGTCAGAATGGAGCCAGCGATTCGAAATGAACAACTTCCATATCCTTACAAGGCAAAGAAACAGGTGCAACTGCTATTTGAAAATTGTAAGTGTATATATTTTAAAAACACTTTTATGCAATTTTAAGTTTGCGTTTCTCACTATTAATCTTTACTTTTCTTTTCTAAATATTGCAGGTAGCATTGACATGGACGTGAATGGTCTGAAGAATTTGGTTATGGAGTCAAAGATTAACATTGCAAACGTTGAAGGAATTCGTTCAAACATCGCGAATAGTACCGCATTTGTTGTTCGAGTGTCCACAATGAAGCAAGGTAATTTTTAAAACATTATAGCGACGTATATTTATAAATAACATCATTAACTCGTGTTAACTTACCGAAAACACTGATCAAATATCAATTCAACAGCTCAACAAATCGTGGCAGAGTGGAACAACAAGATTGTCCAGGGGTGCCGGATGCAAATTAAAATCATGGAAGAATCGTTCACCGATGGGGCGGGAGACACTGGGACTCATTATCAGCAAGAGTCTATTCAGTACACCAATGGTCAGTATCTCCCACGAAATGTCGTGTACCCCGGCGGAGCAGGAGGAAACAACAATGAAGACCGATATGCTTTAGAAAATGAAGGGGCATTTGATCTTCCTCTTCGAATTTTGATCCCCAACGAGTAAGTTTGTATCATCTTTTTCTTTCCAGAAATATTGTTCTCCACTTGCACTCTCCACTATCGTGATAAATTGTTGTATTTTGTAGGTTCATTGGAGCAATAATTGGCAGGGGAGGTAAGACTTACTTTTCATGCTTTTAGACAGAAAAGTTGATACAAAAAACAACCTTATCTAAGTTTATATTTATGAGGAACCTTCTCATATATTTATTTATTATTAGGTTCCACGATCAGGGCTATTTCAAAGGGAACCGGTAAGAATTTTACAGCAATTTGAAATTATATGTTATATAATTTAAAAAAACCAAGAGTTTATTTATTGGTGACCTATAATAATTACAGGCGCTAGAGTGGATATCTTTCGTCATTCAAACCGACACTTAGAAATGCCAGAGAAACCTATTTCAATTTCTGGAGCTCCCGACAAGGCAACGCAAGCCTGCAAGAAAATCATGGAGATAATGGCTCAAGAAGCGGTTCATCAACGAGGACGTGAACAGTATGGTGATTTGGCGCTGAAAATCTTTGTTCCAAACAGCGTCGTCGGAGGCATTATCGGGAAAGCTGGTTTGGTGATCAAGGAAATCATGCAGGAAACTCAAACAAAAATCCACATTTCAAATCAACCAGATTATCTTGAACAAAGTATGGGGATTATAAGAAGTAATAGGATTGTTACTGTACGAGGGTCTGTCGAGGTAAATCTTAAAAACAAATTTAGAACTGTGAGATAATTACAGTAGTTAAACTACTAGATTACTAATAATAAATGCAATTAAATTTAATCATGTTAGGGCATGGTCCAAGCAGAATCAATTATTTCTTCGAAACTCAGAGAAGCCTACATGGATGGCAAAGTTCGAGACCGGGATTTGGAATTTGGAAACATGTATAATAATCCACATGAAGACATTCCTGTAATTTATTCTCCGTATTTCAATCAAACTCCCCGAAATCCTTACCACGGACCTGCGCAAACGTCAACAAGATACCCAATGCCTTTGTCCCGAGAAATATTTCCATTGTCATTGAATTCAAGCAATGATGGCATTTCTCTTTCCCGACCAGAGACTGCGTACATGTATGTTCCAAGTAGGTTCCCTTGATAAACTCAACTAAATAATATTAGAATAATTAATTGACATACTTAATTACGAATTTGTGTTCTCTTACGTGTGTTCCACTATAGATGAAAGCGTCGGTGCCCTCATCGGTCGAAATGGAACCTCAATCCGTGAAATTATTCATTCAAGTGGAGCGTCAATCAAAGTGATGGAAGGAGTTGTCATTCTTCACGATTATTCTTTTCGAAGGGTAGTGATTCATGGGGGTACGGAAATGAGTTTAATTGTGATAAGAATATTTTGTATACGATTGTATATTTTTTAATTATGATAATTGATAATTATAACAATTTATTCCTGCAGGAGTTGATTCTCTCTTTTTGGCTGAATACTTTATCTACCGTCGTGTTGTTGATGAACGAAACTTGCTTACCGGTCACATGGAAGATCCTCAACTAACGATTGAAATGACCGTTCCCAGTGACATGGTTGGACGACTTATTGGGAAGGGTGGTGCCAATATCCGGGAAATCCAGCGACAAAACTTTTGTCACATAAAATTCCTCACTGAACCTGACTTGAGCATCCCTCCCCCAGGTATAATTTTCTTTTAGTAGCTAAAGTATGTAGTTATGCTATGTTTATCAATCAAATTTAAAAATGCTATCTACGTAAATTCATATGCTAACATATTTTCATAAATTTTAGGAGAGGGTGAAACATACGTCCGAATCACTGGAACTGCTACAGCCTTCCTCAATGGACAGAAAAAGATTCGCACATTGTTGGTGAAAGCCATGAACCGAGCCTTCTCAGTGTCTAACAACAACGAAGGGAATGCCAGTTATAATGAATCGCCAGAAGAACAACGCCACCCATCACCCCCACAAACAGCTCACGAGGGAGATGAAGGTGGCGTCGAAGGTTAGAAATGTCGTACATGCATACAACGATGTCATATTTATTTAAATTCCATCTTTATATCCGTCATATTAGAAGTGTTATTACTATACGCAAATGTCTTCCTATACTGTTTACAATGTTTATACTGTTTATACGTGCAGTGTAAGTTACCTTACTTTAATTCAGGTATGCAATATTTAGCATTAGGCTCTCAGCAACAAAATAATGTAAACTTTCCGTCCCTCATAATTAATCATAGTTAACTTTAACTTTCTCAGGTAATTAGCAAAATTGGCTTTGTATAGTTAGTACAGTTATGTGGCAGTATTATTTCTACTGAATGCACGAATTAATTCAAATTACTCCACGAAATTGTAAAGTTATTGTGTCGAAATTGTGTGTATATGTATGTATATTGCTTGAAGTCTTTAATATGGAGAGTCAAATATAATGGGTTATCAAATTTTGTAATTTTTGTTTATTTTTTGCCACTACTTCTACAGTTCTGCAGATATTTAAAACAAAATTTTTCTGTACGATACTTTGCAGATGGTCGCATTAAATATTTTTATACTTTTATATATATATGTATGGGTATCAAATAGATGTTTTTTACCAGTTGAAAAGAGTATTTAGACAATCTCATAATGTAAGTGAAAATAGTTTATTTTTTCATAGTTTTATCTGTAGTTAATCCAAGAGTTACGCTATATGTTTAAAACTACGTAATAGAATGAATTACTTTAACATTCCAACATGTACTAAAATTAAAATTTTCATCCAGTAAATGCTCCATTAAAATTGGTTTGATAGTACAAGTCGGAATGATATGAAGGCACAATATGAAATGTGCCTTTAACATAAAATTGCAATAAAAACTCGCTAAGAATATCATACAGTCTTTTCGCAATAATCTCTGAAATATTGTGCTCTACAATGTTTGACGAGTTGCACATGAAATTATTATTGTTTGTTTTATAATATTAAGTATGACAATTAGTAAGAGTACTGTGTAGACGTACAACACGATAACCATGGAATGATCATTAGTAACACAAACCCTGTAAAATCATGTACAAAAGCAGTTGAGCGAGACACTTATCATTACGTATCATAATCAAAGAGATTGTCATGACTGACTGCAAAGCATCTGATTTGATTTAACGAACACGTTGAAAGATCAACAGGCACAATTACTAGACGAGTTTAGCTTGTGTTTTCCATTGGCACTTATATCCACTTTATCCGGATCGGGGACCGTTGCTTCCTGACTCCATCGATCCATCTCCAAAATCTGATCAGAAATGATTAAATAGTTCATACAAAGTTAATTTTACATTATTCACAAGTAAGTTGGTCTGCTACCTTTGACACGAGAAAATTGGCAGATTCGTCAATATTTATGTTTTCTTTTGCTGAGGTCTGAAAATTAGACACCAATTCAAACTTGTTTATTTAGTTTCATCGGATATACATAATTTCATAAGACACGTCGATCTTTTACTCAATTTCTTCTCATAACGCCCTCAATATCTTTTTCCAAAGCATCCAGATTTTGAGAAATATGTATTATTGAAAGGCTTAACATGGGAACATTTTCTGTTATATGATCATTAATTTAATTTACCTCGAACCATGCCGAAAATCCCTGTTGCAAAATGGGAGAAAATTAGTTATTTGCATGAAGAAGCTATTAATGACACTGCCCAGATTTTGTTACCTGTTGTTGGCAAAATTCATTCATTTTTTCTCGACTGGCAGCTATCCCTTCTTTGGGTTGATCGCTCTGTATAATTTCATTCATAGGACTTTATTATAATCTTCAGATCATATGGCATGCCGTCATATAAACAACTTAATCCTCTTATGGATAAGTCTTACTATAATTGAAAAAAAATTTAACCTTATTGGCCAACAGGACTGTGGGAATGGGGCGACCATCTGGCAGAGCAACTTTCGAATCCAAGTCAGCTTTCCACTTAGGTACGGCCTCCTGTTTTCATTTATGTTAATTTGTTCTGGATAATTTGGCATATTTATTTATCGGCACTAAAATGCTTACCAGCGTCGCAGAACGCGTGACATCGAACACCACAAAGGCTCCCACGGCTTCTTTGTAATATACTCGAGTCATGGAACCAAACCTGTTGACACGAATGCACCAGTTAAAATTCAGTCACTTGTGCACACGTATATTTCTATACGGGCCAACGAAAACGAACCTTTCTTGACCAGCTACGTCCCAAAGCTATATTTTCATCAAAATAATTCAAAATATATCAAAATATGTTAATATCAAAATCAACATTTTTGAGCACCAAACTCACTTGTAGTCGCACCACTGTATCTCCATCCCACCGCAACACTTTCAAGGCAAAGTCAACCCCTTCAAAATTAAAATTTCAACATTAATCTCATGTGCTACCGTCGATAACTTCGGGTTTCACTGACCTATAGTTGCTCTATAATGCTGACTAAAAAATTGATGGACATATCTCTTGATTATGGACGTCTTGCCTGATCCAAGCTCTCCAACCACCAATACTTTGTAAAGCCTCTCCCTCTTACCCTGTGAAAATTGAAAATAAGGTCCTTTATTTGTATTTATTAATGAACAAGCAACAATTATGTATAGCCATCCAAACAGCTCGTATGTTCAGATTTTAAAATATATTTTAAGTAGAAAATAGATATAAATCAAAATGACTTATTTTTAATTCTTTGCCTAATTAGACACGGTACCACAGATTAACTAACTACTGCTAATACTTTTACTTCTATGCATATGCGTGTACCTATGTAAACATATTATGCAGATTCTATGTACATAGGTAAACCTTAAGGAAATTTCTATAGTCATCGATAAACTGCTTAAGCCATACAACCTTCTATAAATTTTCGTCAAGTAGTATGAAAACTTAAATTGTGAGTTCAACCTTTCCAACATGAGTCGTAAAGTCGAAGGGGTTAAGCTGCTTAAAACTCTCTGTGCAAGATGGTTGCTCATCTTCTCCATCTGCATCCTCTTTGTTTCTCTTGTTCACTTTATCGTCGCTTGTCATCCCCTGCACAGCTTCCAAACCTTGTTCAATTTCTTTTTGCTGATGAGATTCCACTACTGCTGATGCTGGTGAGGAATTAGCCTCTCTTCTTGTGATGGGATATTTCAAGATTGCGACTTTCGAATCGTCATCATAGCCAATGCCCAAATTGTCATCAAGATTGGAAGGAGCACTGGTTGAAATGTGATTGTGATCATGATTTTGTAATTGATATTGAACTGCAACTAGCATTTCAGTGGGGTAGATATTGGTATTACCATGATGCATAGCATCGTTTTCTAAAGTACTCCCTGTATGGGGTGTAATATTGGGCTTCACGAGGGAATCTTCACGTTGATCCAATCCTTTCTTCTGGAGAAATGTTCCATTATCATTATTGTTTTCAGGAAAAGAAGAAGCGCTACTACTGCCAACTATTTCAGACCATGACTTTTTCTTGACTTTCTCTCTCCTACCACCACCACTAGACTTGCCTTCTTCTAACCCATTTTCTTCAGACGTAGATGAGAAAATTCGGGCTGCTTTATTTCCTAGCTCCTTATTTTCCCCTTCATCGTTACAATCTTTGGTAATTGTGCACTGTTCTTCCGCCTGTGAGTTTTTTTGTTCTCCATTTTCCTCTTCTACAACGGAGGACGTTGAGCCGGAATTGGATCGAGCATCGTGAGAAATTGCAGACGAGAAAGTTTCGGATTTTCTAACTTTCTTGGGCGATTTAGTGCCCACATTTTGGAAAGAATGCTTCTGTTCTTCTTGGCCAGTACTTCCCATTATTTCTTCCGCAGTGTCCATTTCTCTGATTTGTTTATCTTTTCTTATTAGTGGACTTGGGTCAATAGCGTGCCTTATTGAGCAGAGTTGTAGGCGTAGGGCATGCCCAATTTATGGGTAGGTATACGTATTGCTGTATTTGTGACGTAGAAATGGTTAGATTTCTTATAATGTGATAATCACTGGATTATCATGTGGGTACAGAAGCAAGTTGAAAAATTATGTACTTTCAAGTGTACTGACATCACTGAGGATATAGCAGAGTTGCACTTGGAGAGTTGGATACACCGGAACAATCAAGTCAAATAAATTGTATGTTTAACCAACCAACAACAACTGAAGTGATCATAGGACTGGACCATCATAACAATGAGACAACTTCTCTCACATGATTCATTCCCTCAATTATCTTTAATCGTGCCTATTTGTTCAAGCGTTATCTCGTTTAATAAATAGAACCCAATGCAAACAATGTGGGAGTCAATGAAACTGATTGAAGTTTTCACTGGCTCGACGAGAACCAATGACACACAGATAGTTAATAATTATATAATGGGTTAATGCATTCAGTTAAAGAATTACTTGAACGCAGTGAGTAATTGAACTGGTGTTGATGAACTGACCAATCTGTGCTTTGAACAAATCCATAATTAAGCGATGAAGCTTACCAAAAATCATACATACAATAGTCTAGCTAAAGGAATATCATCGATAGATAAACAGCCATATGCTAAGCACTTTAAACACGTGGAGAGTCTATAATTATGTATTTGATCTCGTTTGCTTATCCCGTCCAGATCAATGGTATTACGAGCGCAAGAAAGTGAACCTGCCAGTTTTTCCACATTTTAGAGACGCAAAGATGTCAATTCCCAAGTGTTTCCTACCATTTAATTGTCAGGTAGTAATAAATAATGATCCGCGTGGAGTAACATGAAGTCACAGGATTCTGTTTAAATTGTCACGAGGTTTCAATTCATTTCTTCGACAAAAACTGATGCAGTGTTCATATTCCACAAGGGACAATATTCAACTCGTATTTTGCGTACCATTACTACGCATATAGACATGATTGTTTTAACTGAATGCATTTTTATTGACACAAACAGCGAGTTGTTTATGAGATGATTAAGAGATTTCGTTTCAGCAGTTGACTTTCCTATTTATTTTGATGTTATCTTATCAAGAGGAACAAAGAACGATTACAGTACAGATATCTCATATTTTCCCACGCGAGGATCCCTAATCGAAAACAAGTGCAGAATTATTTACGGTTGTCGCAAGGAGTAATTCTGTACTTGACAATTCTTTACGTACAAATTGATATTTGACTTGGACCATTTTATTTCCTTCGTGCTTAAAAGGAAAACTCCAATTATTTACCTGTGTACGTATGCACGGATGTATGTAGGTAAATAAGTACGTATGTATGTGTGTAGAATTGATAAAATCCTATATGACGATTTCCATCAGCTATCGCCGGTAAAAAAGGTCATATTTTATTTTCTGCTGTTTTAGCTCAAAAACCTGCTCAGCGGGTCCGAACTATTCGATTTAGACAGTTTTTAAAATTTCCACGTCCCCCTCCGTCTAATGGTATGGGGGAAAGCACTACCTTTTTTGACAAAACTTGCCAACTTTCTCCCTCGATTGTGAAGCAACCAGTAGGCCCAAAGCGGTCAAACTTCGCATGGACAATCCCCGGGGTATGCTTTTGGGTCATCCTGAAGCGCTAGGCCCTACCCGTACTCCTTGACCTCAAAATGACATGAGGTCAAGTTACAAAGTTGGCTCATCCATCACCATTTTTTAAATAGCTCGCATTTCAACAATCCCCGATAGATTTTCTTCATATTTGATAAAAACTGATCAGACTGACTTGTACTATCAGATTCGTTAAGGATTTTTAAATTTTTCCAAGGTCAACAAGTTTTTCGCGCAAACGAAAAAGGTCACCAGGCAAAGTCTCATATAACCCCATAAGTGGGGTATCGTTGGAAAGGTCTTGGGAGGATTCAGAATATATATACTTTATGAGGTCTGGGATCACCCCCAGATTTTATAGCGAGCGAGGAATTTTATTGAGTTTTCCTCAATCCACTGCTGTGTTAGCTCTCAATCTGCTCCTGTGTAAACGTCTGCATGCACGGAAAACCAAAACTCAATGATACTCATCGGTCTCTATAAAATCTGGGGGTGGTCCCAGACCCCATAAAGTATATATATTCTGAATCCTCCCACCAAGACCTTTCCAACGATACCCCACTTATGGGGTTATGTGAGACTTTGCCTGGTGACCTTTTTCGTTTGCGCGAAAAACTTGTTGACCTTGGAAAAATTTAAAAATCCTTAACGAATCTGATAGTACAAGTCAGTCTGATCAGTTTTTATCAAATATGAAGAAAATCTATCGGGGATTGTTGAAATGCGAGCTATTTAAAAAATGGTGATGGATGAGCCAACTTTGTAACTTGACCTCATGTCATTTTGAGGTCAAGGAGTACGGGTAGGGCCTAGCGCTTCAGGATGACCCAAAAGCGTACCCCGGGGATTGTCCATGCGAAGTTTGACCGCCGTGGGCCTACTGGTTGCTTTACAATCGAGGGAGAAAGTTGGCAAGTTTTGTCAAAAAAGGTAGTGCTTTCCCCCATACCATTAGACGGAGGAGGACGTGGAAATTTTAAAAACTGTCTAAATCGAATAGTTCGGACCCGCTGAGCAGGTTTTTGAGCTAAAACAGCAGAAAATAAAATATGACCTTTTTTACCGGCGATAGCTGATGGAAATCGTCATATGATGCGTTGCAATTTTCGCGTGCATAGAGTTGTATCTCTCGATTAAATACAATACTAAATTACGTAAATAAGACAGACAGGATTAAGGATTAAAGATTACGTGGTATCATTTTCATGTTCATAAAAAATTATTTTTCATTCCCAGATTTTAGTGGAAATATTAGTAACCGTTTTATGAGAATAAGTACATAAGTGAGCAGTGCAGTGAAAATACGCATGAAACCCTTGTACATAACTACAAAATTGCTAAATATGTAGCAATTACACATTTCACAATTCCCAGCTCACATAAAGTACTTACAATTAGTATGAATTATTATGTTATAATAGAATTAAATTATAATCTTGAAAAGCGATAAACGTTAAAATGAGAACTATTTATTACCGATAATATAGTGGCTGCCATTCTCAAGTTGTTGGTCACTCTTAAAGATCTTTTTTTCTTGAGTCCTAATGTACGTACATATGTATATTAAAAATGACGCAATTATTAGGAATTGCAAGTATTGTATTCAATAGTTTCACTTTTCGACACAAAACGTATTACTAAAATTGCACTCAAATCAAAATAGTGTATCTTTGAATGAATTTAACTACAGTCAAATTTTAGGACGTATTAATAATAATTAAAGGTTGAGAATTAATTTGAACTAAATATTTGTAAAACACAATTTATTTGTGATAAACATCACTTTTTCTCGGAATCTATATTATGCCTGGAATATAATAGAGAACACGAGTGTGAGATGTTACACGATTTTTATCAATCATGAACCAAGTGTGGAGAACGTTAAGAATAAACAATTTCTTTGACCAAAATCTTACTTGAATTTAAACTTTTAAATTTGTTGCAATCTGATTCGAGGGTCTGGGTAATAAGTAGAATGGAAATACAAGGATTACGGCTTGGTTTGGCTTTGTCTCTCTCTGTCCATAGGCGAAGAGTGACCAAATGTCGGCCGAATCATAAACTCTGTACGAATTATTAAGCCACACTTTTCACGGCACAAGCTCTGTTGGATAACTGCATGTGTGTAAGTAAACTGGATAAAAAGCCTGAGAGAATGCCAGACCTCGATACACGGAGAATGCTGAGCAAGACCGGTCTGGAGCAGCTGTACTTCAATTCTATTGTACTCGGTCCGTAAGTCCGTATTACAGAATGCTGATAATAAGCACTGGTGCAATCTCCTCCAGACTCCAGTCGTGCCCTTATAGATATTTTACCCATTTCATTTCGTATTCAATCTCTGGGACAGAAGAACACAAACCCGAACGGACGAGGAGTCGAGTTCATGTTATTATTCCATGTTCCGATCTCGTTATTAATGCATATATAATATGCATACATATCTCCAGTTGTCGCCAGCATGTGCAGATAATAAAATGTAATGCCATGCTACCATAGATCATGTATCTACCTCAGTTCTACTACTATTAATCGCCTTCTGAAAGGAAACTCATCATAATAGATACTTAATAGAAACTCATAATTACGTTGGTGGTGGTAAGATATGAGCGAGCGTTAATATGCTCGTGATAAGTTTTCAGCATTTGTCGAGTGTGAGAAAAAAACCATGACTCATTACATCTCGTGAGCGTATTGTTTGTCAACAAAGGGTTGTTTGTCTCCCTACGACTCTGAAAATGAAACACATTACTGCTACAACTTGTAGCCTACAAGTAATCAGTTAGTTCAAATTGTGTTTTTAATGTATAAATAAATTTGGAGAATGTTGCATGATAAAATGATATGATTGGTCTAAAAGAAGAAGACAGCATGCGTACAAGTAAAGCATCGATGTTCACTTAAACTGTACTTTCTTTGACTGAATTCTGACCGGATTCTTGTTCGATGAGTCAGTAAGTAATCGAAATCAAGCAAATGGTTAAACGGTCTCCTGCTGAGGTTGAGTGACTTCGTTCTCAGGATCGTTTTGGTCTGGAACGGGATTTTGAATCACTTCAGCAAATATTTTTCGGCATGGGAATGTAGTGGTGACAATGTAAATTGTGGTGACCATGCAAGCGGCTCCCAGCTGAATTCCCATTGCTGGATAGCTTGAGGAATACCACTGTGTTGCCCAAGGATCTGACAAACTCGTGATTTGCATCATAATGTTCATAGAGCCAATAATCATAAAGAAGTAAAACATTGACCAAGAGTATCGTACACCTTCTTTCTCATCATCCCATACTTTGAATTCTTTAATGGCGTTGGCGTAGTCTTCTGCTGGGTCGTCATTCTTTTGAGTTTCCTTTTCTGCTGTTGTTGCACCAATATCTGCTGGTGTCGTCGTCGGAGATTCGGGGCTTATCGAAGAGGAACTATGAGTTGTCCCTTCAATCCCTGCTGGCGTGGCTGTTGGTGGATCAACATCATTTGCATTTCCTGAACTGGTTACGTCCTCATTTGGCTTTGCATTATCTATTGACTCTTCTGCTATCTTTTTATCAAATACTGGAATCACTGGCAACTCAGATTTTTTTGACATTGAAAAAAATATCTTGTCGAAAAGGATAGACATCGGAGCAGTTGTGGTTCTTGGGCCGTGCCAAAACACGTAGTAGAGGAGGGCGAAGAAAGAGAGCAGACCGTGAATGCATGATTCCGGTTTGAAATTAGTATCCAGATTTCCCTTATTTTCCGACCTATTATATGATTCGATGCCAGGCACGTCGAAATGCGGTCTTGCGGTCACTTCTAACAAATTTCGGTTTGTGTTAGGGTTTCGAAAAAAATATTAATTGTCAACTCATACCTAGAGAGCTTCCTAATGCACTCCAAATAGTGATAAGCATGTATAAAATCACAAAGCATGTCTGTAGCATTCCTGTGTACTTGAACAATTTTCGTTTCATGTTTATAATTCCAGAAATTAAGAGGCAGAGCGTCAGAAAAACAGCAAATGACAATATTCCAACGTGCGATGGCACCACTCTACCGTGTTCTATTTAGATATGTAAGTATGTATGTGCGTACATACGTGAGTATTTAAATAGTTTTATGATTTTTATAATAATCAGTCAATTGCGTACCTGGCGATTGATTTTTGTGCTCATCAAGATACTCATTAGTAGAATAGAATGAGCACAGCAAGACAATGATTGCACAATCCAGAAATGAGATGATAAAACAAAATCCCCAATATACACAATCCGCCCTAAAATGAATTTAAAATAAAAAACACTGTCAAGGACTGTATATATTTTGTAAATTCTTCACCGACCAATCGTTGCTGCTGGTTCGATTTTGTTCACAAAACAATTCGACAATGTCCAATAAGAAGGTGACTTCAACAAAAGAAAAAACAAGAACAGCCAAAAGGCCAACCCAATGCCAAACGTACTCGAAGATGCCCCCCATTTCCACTCTTATCGCCAAGTATGATATCAGCAGCAATATAAAAAGAATGATGTACTTGTACAACCAAAATCTATAAATGCAAGAACAAATTAGTACGCAAAATTGTTTGAAAAGGTTATTGAGATTAAATTTACCCATGGTGCATTTTTGCCCTTTTCCGATTTTTTATAGTTGATTTCACATTTATCATGTTGAAGCAACTGATGAGCAGCAGAAGATCAAACGCAAAAAAGTTTCGATATACCATAAAATAGCCACCTAAAAAATGTGCATAAATATGCATAAATATAATATAATATATATAAAATAAATATATATATATAATATATATATAATATAATAGCATAAAATAGCCACCATGAACATCGCAATTCTTGGTCAAATTGTCGTTTACTGCTCTACTCTGATTCCATTCATGACAGGGATAGAACTAAAACAACAAACTGTGTTTTAAGAAAATACTTCATACTGAATTTTTTTTCATATGGGCTTTTGTCTTTACGTCTGAGATTGTCGTCTGTTCGAACACTTTCCCAAACGGAATGATAAAGAAACAGCTCAAACAGCTCACGAAAATGAGCATCAAGATCCACATCAGCTTGGTAGCAACTGACGCTAAGGCGAAGGGGGCCACGCAGGTCCGTTTGCAGCAACAATTGCAACAACAGAACATGAATGAGACGGGATGTGGACCAACCAAGCTCTGGAAATTAAGAAATTGTATTTTTATTTGCATGAAATTTTGCAGCTTAAAATAATAATTGATTATTCTCACCCCGTGGATCGAGTCATGGGCAAAGAATTTGAAGATTGAATTCCAAAATCGGTAGCAGCAGCTTCTCTCTTTCGGAGCAATGGTGGAAGTTGTGGAGCGGACATTGGACATCTGATCCGCCTTCGTGGTAAACGCCGGGGGAGGTGCGGGGCTAGAGTCGGCCTTCTCAGCGTCGTCATTGCTGGCAGCCCCTTCAGCACTAGACTCCATCTTCTTACAAATATACAAGCTGGACTATTTTCCCAACAGATTTTGGGTGGATATTCCACCGGAATAAATGACTTTAATAAACATGTAATAAATGGCATTCATAATTTATACAGCCTCGAACCACGACCACGACTTTGATTTTAAGTATCTAAGTAACTTTCTTGCTGGGTGACGATTTTGACGAATTTTGTCGCGCAATTTGTTTTTAAGTAATTTTCACTACATTTAATTTTCAGTACATTTCTTATTGAGGTCACATTTACATGAAAGCCATGAGATGTAATGCGATGAGATGCATGAGACAATGGAAAAATGGTGAGTTGACAATGAGAGGCTAAACTCGGCGCCTGCTGGAGAAATCACCACTGAACTCAAACTGTTCATCATTGAAGGCATGTGCTTTCTCGTCTCGCTCTGCTGGCCTGCGTTTTCATTTCTCAGTAAAAGTTCCACTTTTTACACTTTGCTTTAAATTTAATTTTTGTAACCAGTTGTTAATTGTTTAGTTTGAAATTCGAGAGTTTTGGAAGGGTTGACGCAAAATGGAGTACCTACCTTCACCTGACGAAGGGACGACGGGCCCAGGAAAAATGTAAGACTTACACTTGAAAAAAAAATAAATCTGAAGTCCAATGTAGTAAATTTAAAATAAAAAGAATTGTTTAAAAAAATAGTTATTTACATTGTAAGTTTATCAGTAAACTTCAAATGATATGTAATGTATTATACTTTTTGCCATTTCCAGATTGTGTTGCCAATGTGGAACACTTATCGACCCAAATCCTGCCAATATGTGTGTGCCTTGTGTCCGGACACAGGTTGACATTACGGAAGGAATTCCTAAACAGGGGACGCTATCATTCTGTAAAGGTTGCGAAAGGTACACTCCAAAATAACTAAAAAGCGCTAACTAACGCTAACTAGCGCTAACTAAAACTAAAAAGTTATTTGTAATACAAGAAAAGAAAAACAAATACATGGTTTTTTGGATGATTACAGATATCTTCAACCGCCCACCCAATGGTTGAAATGCGCCCCTGAATCTCGAGAATTGTTGGGTCTTTGTTTGAAAAAACTAAAGGGCTTGAGTAAGGTGCGATTAGTAGATGCTGGATTTATTTGGACAGAACCCCATTCCAAGAGGATAAAAGTAAAGTTGACGGTGCAGTCCGAAGTGATGGGTGGTGCTGTGTTGCAGCAAGTTTTTACCGTCGAATTCACTCAGATAGCACAACTTTGTGATGATTGTCGTCGTGCAGATGGTACAATAGCCATAGCGAAATACACATGTCATTCAGAGCTTGAGTAATATGATAACTTCATCTTTCAGCTAAGGACTACTGGAAAGCACTGGTACTATATGCACAATTAACATGGCGATCTTCTAGACATGGCAAGATAATAATATGTATATTATAGAATGTTTTTTCATTTGTAGGTACAAGTGAGGCAAAAGGCAGAACACAAAAAGACTTTGTATTACTTGGAACAACTGATTTTAAAATATAAAGCTCACAAGAACACAAATGGTGTTAAACCACATCATGGTTAGTTCCACACATGGTTCATTTGAAATTAAGTATGGATGTCTAAAAATTGTGTGTCAAACTTATTTTTTATTTGTTTCTCTTACAGATGGCCTTGATTTTTACTACCAAACCGAATCAGGCGCAAGGAAGATGGTTGATTTTCTTGGACAGATGCTCCCCTGTAGATATCAGCATTCTAAAAAATTAATTTCTCATGACACTCACAACAACACATACAACTACAAATTTACGTTCAGCGTGGAAATGGTGCCAATCTGTAAAGATTCAATAGTGTGCCTCCCAACAAAGCTTGCTCATCAACTTGGTGGGATTGGTCAAATTTGCATCGTTAATCGTGTGACGAATGCCGTTCATCTGATTGATCCAACGACTGCACAAGTCGCCGAGCTTTCGGCATCAAACTTTTGGCGTCAACAGTTTGGCACTATCTGCTCATGTAGGAATCTTATAGAATTTGTAGTAATGGAAGTCGAACCCATAATAAAGAGAACAAAGTTCAGCGGACAAGGAACAATATCGGATAAGGTAGTAATACTGCATAACAAATCTAATACTAAATAGAAATTTTAGTGTCATTATTAATTTTACGAAGACGTACATAGAGACATATAAATATATACAAGATTGAGGGAAAAAGATGATTACGTGTATCGTCTATAACTTGTATAATTCTATAATTTGCAGCACATCCCGGCAGACGTCTACGTGGTGAAAGCAAACGCAATGGGTGACACACCAGTTCATTGCAGGAGCCATCTAGGTCACCTGTTGAGCCCAGGAGACACGGTTCTAGGGTAGAGTAGAAATCTAATTTGTGTTGTAGGATTATGATCTTAACGGGATTGATTCAGAGAGAGAATGACGTCTTTCGTTGCTACATTAGGTTTGATATGGGAAACACAAATGTGAATGATCCAAACTTTGAGAAATTAAAGCCAGATGCAATCCCGGATGTAATTCTCGTCAAGAAACACTATCCAGAACAGAAGCAGAAGCGCAGATGGAAGCTGAGGCACTTTTTGGATAAAATGGATACAGATAGCGTCAACAAGTAAGTTCAGCATTCCTCTCTGTGCTTAAGAAAAAAACTATAGGTAGATTATAATACATGTTCATGTAAAGTTTCCGCCATGCACTGTGTAATTTGTTCACTTGGAATTTGTATTCCAAGTTCCAACCGTTTTCTTCGAACTCGGATGGCGGATAGACGTAATAGGTTTTAAACTTATGTATATCCTTATGCACATACGATTCCCATCAACTTTTTTTGTAAGTTGCTGGCTTATATTGTGCGAATATTAATAATTCTTCATGGAGGGCCTGATATTTATTTGCCATGAATATTGGGTATCAGAATTTTCGGGAAACGAAAGAAACATATATGTAGTATAGATATACACACTACTGTGTATACAATAAATTGCATTACTTTACAACTTTACATATGCCATTCAAATGTCTCTACAATGTTCTTCGATTCGATTTCAGGGACTACGAAGATTTCCTTCAAGACCTTGAGGAAGACCCAGCTTACCGTGAAGGTGTGAATATTTACAAAGATCGTACAAGATTGAAATCTGGCACTTTTACGGATGATCCCGATGAAGGTCAGCCAAAGATCAGCCTTGAAGAAATGTTGGATGATTTGACGCTCAGTGAAGCAGAGGGCGAGCCTAATGAATGGGTTGACATTGATGAGGATGAGTAGTATGATAAGCTTGGTGTTAATTCAAAATCATAATGTAAAGTATTACTTGGTCGAGTCTTTCATTCCTTTCATACATACATACATCAACATGTATTCAATGTGGCTTTATGTATATGGTATAGCACACTGTTCTTGTATAACTAGTTATACGAATGAAACCAAAATTACCAAATAAAAAGTCTACGTTAGACCAATATATTACTTATTACTTGGGTGTCGTCTCGTCTGATTTCTGAATTGAATCTATTTTTGAATGTCATTGGTGAAAGTTAATTAGTTTTGCTGGCTCCTTCCCAACGTATCCGAATTTGAGTTAAAAAATTGTTCCTTCTTCTTTCTCTTTAATAAGTCAAGGGCGTGCTATGAATTCGACCCAGACTGCTGTGAATCATCAGATTTGGGTTCGTGCTTCTCTGGCATCTGGAAATGTTGGATAAGAAAGTTACCAGAACAAGTTTTAGTTTTTGGCAAATGTGCCGGTTATATATCAGTAAAAGAGTTGCAGAAGGACTTATTTTTTAATTACTGTTCACATTACACGACTTCTCACAATATGGGAAACCCTTAACTTTTAATCAGGAAGGAGCAATGAAAGCAGCAAACTTCCTTATGCTTACATATTATAAATATGTCCTACTAGTCAAATATGTATGTAGCTGCATACGTGCTGCCCTGCACATTGAGAACGGAGAGACAGACACGAGGAGGAGGAATACTTATCCTCCTCTTTTTCCACAAAACATCACATTTTGTCGACGTTCCATAATATTATCCATCTTCCTCTGTCATGAGACTAAGACGAGAAGCAGCTCATTAATTTCAAGAGCAGGCAGAGTGAAAGAAGTAGAGATATGAATGAGCCTTTCCCCACTGGCAGTATGGTAACCTTTCACAGGAGGAGGAACTGGGTGGTTGTATATGTGTCATGAATTATTGGTCCATGGCGGCGGTGGAGAAGCCCGCAATTCGCTAAAGTTGGGCAGTAGGGCCAAATGAACTTGACATGGTCTATATGCGTTTTGGGCCTTCGCCATCCCAGCAAAAGGGTGGTGAATGAGACGTCATACTTGTCATTGAACGGGGATCAAGAGCTATTACTCCCCGCTACAGCGACAGAAGAACAAGTTTCTTTTTTCCTCTTCAGTGCCCCTCGTCCCATCATCACCATCAATATCACGCCATGGATTGTCGTTATATTGAATTGATTGCTGTTCTGTCCAACTAGTTTGTATTTCTTCAATATTTCCGTTTCCTTTACTTCACTTGCTTTTCTACTTCGCGAAAGATATTAAGGGTAAAGCGGTGGTTTTATCGCAAGCAGTGAACATATTTAGTTTGAAATACTTGCAAGATTTCGTTTAAAACGGATAAATCCATATCATATCGTCTATACTACTGACGAGAACTACATGTATGTCATGAAACTGTACCTCTCTATGTACTCATACCTACTTAGCCCATGCAGCAAAAAGAGCAATGATGTCCAAGGTGAAAGCGGAGAGGTTGTTCTGAGGGAGGAAGCCGTTCAAATACTAATAATGTTATCCACGTATAATGTACCGACATTAGGAACCTGATACATTTAACTCAACGACACATACACGACATGTTTTCTGACTTGACTTAATTATGAGCGACAAGGGAATTTTCAAAGTCCAAGCCCCTGTCCCATGAGTCCTCTAGGTGGGCCATCCTCCGTGGTGTGTGTGCGTGTGGCGTGGCGTGGTGTTGAGTGGTTTGGCGAGGCAGATGGTTTGGTTGGTGGGAAGAGTGGTGAAAGCAAGACAACCAACCGGGGGTCATAAAATTTATGATGTGAGAGTTGTGTAAACCACGGACCGTGTCAATAAACACTTACCAACAACCATCCCTCCCCCATGCTACCCACCAACCAAGATACGGCGTGTGGATACACGGTGCGTATGTACTTTATGTTATCACAGCCCATTTCTCTGCTTCACTCCATTCATCTAACCATCCAACCAGTGAAAGTCAATCTCATATCTCAACAACATTTGCTCAGAGCTCTGTGATTTGATTCTAATCCAATTCCAAACCAATTTACACTAAAGTTCTTTAATGTACGGGGTGGGATGGAATTTTGTGTTTAAATGTCAGGAAGAGCAGTGATAACAGTTTTAAATGTCGGTAAATTCGGACAGTGTAACGTGCAACAAGACACAGTTAGCAGGACGAGCGACTTGTTACTAGTACCATTTCGTTCCACTTTTAACAACGAATTTGATGTTGGTGGACGGACGAAGGGCTAAAAATATGAGGCATAGGCTTATAATATTATTGAGGTAGTTGGTTCCAGACGGATGTCGGAATACAAGTCAAGGCCACGGAAGAATGAGAACGCAATCCACGGCGGTATGTCCCCCTTTTCACTTCCTTCTCCTTGGTCATTCATTCACTAACTCTGAGGTGGGGGAAAGTGGCATAGATTGAAAATCTATCTCCATGAGGCGTCGGGAAAGTTTCAACCAGATTTCATTAGTATAGCATGTTGAAGATGTTGTAGTCCTGGGGTTGAATACATAGATACAAATCTCTAACAGCACTGCGTACTTATTTATGACTTCGTAATATCTCTGAATATACGTATAAAATCATAAAAGGAGACGTTTATTAATCTCAAGTTAATTTTTGTGTGGGCTGCTTTATAGAGATACAGATGAAGTGAACCCAACATCACCCACACACACCACACGGGTTTTCTAGGAACTGTTAAAAATAGCTGGAAAGTGACTAGAAAGTTGTCAATTGCGTAGTTGACACTGCATGCATATGTATATAGAAACTTTTATAGTTGAGTCGAATTGACATGCACACTTTTTATGAGGATGAAATTGTGTGACCTGTTATGATTGTGACACGGGATGTAGTCGATCAGATCAAGTAAATTGGGCCAGTGCGCAAGTATCAACCTTTTGATATTCTTTTCTCCGAGAAAAATGGGTATGACACACTTTCCGCCTCGTTTAAGCCATACCAAATAGATATTTGTAGTAATTTATATCGCTATGAATCATAGGAATATATTTATTTACCGAACTCAACCTAATTTGAGATCTTTTTTATTTTATTTTGATCTCAAAGTGATGCCATCTTTTACATTGTCCTCCTTCTGCAAAGGACACGGTTGATGGCATGAACACATACATAGGTTATGCAAAATGTTGACAATATTTGGCAGAAAAAGGTTATTTAGAAGAGCTTGAATTCTGAGAAAGATGAAGATTTGTTGATGGGACGAGGACGACAAATCCAGTAAGGAAATTCTGAAAGGGTGTAATAATAATATGTGGAAAAGTCACAAAACCCGTGTGCGGATCTATTATGCTCATACAGACGATGAATATATGCGATACGACTACAAATATACAGATAACTGCTCCACAGCCAGGCAGATAGAGAGAGAACATTATTTATTCCTTCTCCGCTCTCCCTTTTTTGTCTGTGGCTTCCTTCATCTTCATCTCACTCTTCTTCTTCTGAACGGGAAAACCTTCTTCGGGTTTGAAAGAAAGTTGAGCTCCTCACTTCTTGGAATCCTTATTTTAGTAATAGCACACTGCCCAACTTATAATAATAATTCCTTCCTCCATTCAAATTTCCTTTTCAAAAGCGGTCGTCGGTATCCTCAACCCATCCGTCCGTCCGTCCTTCATTTCTTCCTTCCTCATTTCTCCCCTCCGCCTCTCGTACTCACTGCCGATGAGCATGTGGCAATAGTCATCTAAATACTAAAAGGAAACGCAAGCAGGCCATTATTCTGACACACCGGGACAAATTTCGTCCTACGCTGTGTTTCTCATTCTCTTTAGAAGTAAGCCGAACGAGTGTGGTTGGAGGAGAGAAAAAGTAAGCAGGAATTATTGCGCTCAATACATGTTGCTGTCTTTGTATTGATTTGGAGAACCATGTCGCTTTTCTGCAGTACGAGAAAAGTGGAGAAAATTCATGAGGAAAATTGTGCAGGGCCAACATAGCAAGAAGGAGGATGAGGTAGGAAGACCTAAATATGTATGTATGTACGATGCTGGAGAAATGAAACCCGGATTTCCAGTTCTCCAGGATGTGCAACAAGTGAACAAGAGTCCAAATCTACAAGAGCGACTCCTTTTCTTGCAGATGTTCTCATGTCGGCCCTTTCTTTCTTCCTACTTTCCTCAGATTTACTTCCAGCTTTTACTTCTTTTATTTTCCCCACTCCCGCAGGTTTTATCTCCCCTCCTCACAAAGGAAAGACGGCTACGATGATCACGACGACGGCGACGACGACGAAAGTGAGTTTAGCCATAGAACATTACCACGGCTCACACCATTTGCTCTCATGATGTAAAAGACCTAATTCACGATATGGATTTCGGAAATTTCATTTTACGTATAAAAACCTACACCAGTCGGGTGTGGAGGGAGAACAAGTGGGCCGAGAAATTGACACATATCTGTATGTCAAACACTTGGTTATACAATGTATTGAGTATAACTTGACCAAGGCTGAAGTGAAAGCCGTGTTTCTGCTGCATGAGATCTAACCTTTACTTTCACCAGCACCAACTTGATACTTTTATAGCCAGTTATGATGACTATGGCCACTAACAAAATATTACATAGACATCGCCATTCCGGGCAAAAATCCGGTATAATTCTGTTCATTGGTGACACATACTTTTTTTCTCACATACTAAGATTGCATGGAGTCGACTTTCGGTTGACATATGAATAACTGGTTACATTGCGGTTTGTGGTGGATAAGTGTCATTATGTTCTCACGAGGTACTTGATTCAATATACTAAATTATATATGTACTCAATTTCAACTTGCACTCGGACCGAACGAAAACTATTATTGAAATTTTGTGAGCGAGTGACGAATAATAGGAACGATGTGATACACTGGCATGCCTTAAAAAATATCACACCTTTTAAAAGTTGAATCGGAAGTCTCCGAACCGAATCAATACATAGATTCACTTACACCCCACATGCTAAACAGACTTCTTTATGATCAGCCCATGCACGAGTAACATCAAGCGTGGTTTACATTTGTTATTGTGGGAGAAATGATAAGATTGCAAGACCAGTTAGTAAAAGGAACTAGAAATATATAGACGTATGTAGGGCGTCTTAATCAAGAGGTTCCAATTTCGAGCCCGGGAATTAACGTTTTTGCAAATATTCCTCAAATTAACTAGT